CAAACATCCACTTAACTGTGTAAAAGAAGAATGAATCAACATGAGGAGGGATGCATGAGATGATCCACAGGTTTTATATATTAGAATGTTTTTATTTTTCATCCTCACCTGCTGCCAGATTTCACCTAAATACATACATTGATCTACTACCATTCAAGAAATAATCCCGCAATATATAACTATGGCAAGCCATTTTGATATGTACTAGTTTTACTGAATATGTATGTCTGAAATCAAAAACAAATATTTTTTTCTTTGTCTAAATGACCATTTCAAACAAAATGACATTCCCCATACAAATTAAGAATGAAAAATTTTCAGATATCCATATTCCTAATATTACTGGCCAGTATTATTATTATATATGTATTATTTTAACTATTAAAAAAAGTTTTTTTAGATATCGTAAATAAATGTTCAGTCAAGCTGATAAATGTCAAAATGGCCACTTAAAATGTGTAAACATTTCTAGATTTATAAAACTCAATTTTTAATATAATTTTGCTTTAATTTACTTTCTAAAATTCCATTTCTGCAACAAAAATGTAATTTAGAAAATATATTATTACAGTTAGGTTGAGTAATTTAATTTTGATTTTAATTTAATTTTAATCTTATTTTAGTGATCTACAAATGGAACGACAGAGAGGAGTGCTTTTAGTAAATGTAGAAATGGCCTGCCAACTTCACATAAACAATCTTCTCCTTCGCCATCCTCCTCTCCTTTGCAGCTGTAGTGCATTTAAAACACATTCTGCATTTCTGCCTATTCCAGTGGGGTGAAATAGGCACTTCCTTTTGCCTGTTGTCATGGTGACTCCTTTAATCGGCGCTCCACTGATAATGACTTTTCATACTTGTTATGCACGTTTAACTCTGAGTGGACCTAGTTAAAATAGATTGAAAGAATTGATAGCAGCCGTTGTGAAACGGAACACTCAGAGTTCATGACATTATGCTAGATCAATTTAGAGTTGCAGATTTAAATCTGAATTTGTTAAACCTGCTTCATAAAACGGTAACCTGTACAAAGCATCTTCATTAGTTAAGAAAAGTTATCCAACTTTATCATTAAAATCGCAGTCTCAATTTCATTATTGTCATAAATTAAGAAGCAATAAAGCATTTTTTTTTTGTGCAGATATTGGCTTTTATTTGATAGTACGATGACAGGAAACTGTGTAAAGAGAGAGAGAGGGAAGACATGCTGCAAAGGTCCAAGGGCCGGGCCTCAAACCTTGGATAGCCAAGTCAAGGACTGAGGCCTCTGAACACGGGTCGCACACCCACCCCCAAATAGGAACTCAGACCAGCAGTTAATGAATGAATGGAAAGGGGACTCATCTTGTCAATCAACTAACTATTAATTAATAAGCGGCTATTTCATTAAAAACCTACGTTTTGTCATGTATCAAGAGGACATTACTCTAACATGAAGGGCTGATTATTTTTTTAACAATATGCTAAGTTTAAAAAAAAGAAATTGCATCATATAAACCATTTATTTTGCCATTTGTATCAAATACTAACTTTATAACCAAAAATATGTTTGCTTACACTTTAGTAAACTAGACATATATTTAGAAAATTAAATTAAATTGAATCATTATGTTCCTAAAAAAAAAAGTTGTGAAAAATATTACGATTATTTTAATTGATGATGTTTGGGTCTGTTAAACCCTAGTAATACCCGCCTGTTGCATTGCAGAACTAATGTTTTCCCAAGTAGTTCATCTAATTGGGACGTTTCCTCTATCAGGATAAAAGGTGATCTTTATTATGGACGTGGCAAAGATTTGAGAATGGAATAAGTTTGGTGTCCCTTGATTTAAGAAAAAAGTGTAATATTTCGATAAGGCTGGAGGCCTGGATGAATATGATAATATTGTGATGATGTGGCAGACTGGAGTTGTATAAAATTCTTCTTTAAATGTGATTTGGGGCCACTTCACGAGAGCCTGGTTGGTAAGCAGCAGACATCTGTAACCTGAAGCAACTTCTCTGGTTTGAGTAAGATTACAATTTCTGTCAAAATCTGTTGTCATGTCCCACGGTTATTAATACATTATGAAGTGTTATTTAAAGAATGTCCCGAGTGAGAGAAAGCTTCAAGGTGTAAACACAGAGCTTTCATTACCAATATGATTTCTAACATAAAGAAATGTAAAACTATCAATAAAAAACAGAGTATTGCTCTGAAAAGCTGCTTTTCCTTCCAAGCACAGCAGGAACATCTGGAAAACAGACTAAACTTAATGGCTATTTAGGCGATAACTTCAATAGTTTATCCAATGTTTATATTTACAAACAGAACCACAACAACTGCATTCTGCATCCTTGTTGCCATAAAACACAAATGGATTGATTTATGTTTATGCTCTAGGATGCAGAAACATAATGAAGATTAGATCCCCCATTTGCTGCAGGGCATGAAATTCGGCCGCGATCTTGGGGTGGTCATATTACTTAGGTTAAACCCAAGTAATATGACCACCGCAGAACATCCCTCAGCACTGCCTATGTTTGTTTAAATTAAAGGGGTATTCACTTCAGGGCTCTGGGGAACTTTTCAGAATTAGTTTGGAGATATTATTGTTTGTATTATTTGTGAATAGAATATAACAAACATTTATTTCCACCATGTAATATTGGCTATGCTATATAATACATAATATTTGGACGGGCGAACATCTGGTTATAAAGGCTAGCAGAAATATTGTGGGTTTTTTTTTAAAGATAATGCTGCACCACATTACAGCTGCAAAAAAAAAAAAATCCTCACCTATACAGTTCTGTTTTAGTAGTTTTAACTTATGTCAAACTTTTATGAGCAACTGTGTACTTAACTTGTAAATATGCTTAGCGACAGATGTGTTATGATAGATATGATGGAAAGAATGTTAGTGCATCTATTCTCTCAGCAAAGTCTTTCTTAATATTTTACACAATGTAGTTTAACATGCTTTAAAGATTTAGCAATAGAAGTTCTTTTGGTTCCCTAGTTACATTATTTAATGGTGGGCTGAATGAATTTCTCGTTACATGTGTGTAGTGAGCTGGTGGCATAGATCAGTTAGTATCAACACATCAATATTTTATATATGTCAGTGGTAGCATGGCTCCACCATTGATCTCTATTTATTCAAAAGGGTATGCAAACTAAAGATTACAATGATCACACAATCTGAAGGCTGGCCGAAGCATTTTGTATTTGCTATTTGATTTTTTCATTCAGATTAGGGCAAACTAATAGGACAGCTGAATTATTTTGAGGCAACAGAATTGGGCAATAAAAAACTGTTAGAGATATCGATTTCCTCCTGATTTTTCATTCTATAACTCAGGAACAGGAACATAGCACAGGTCCATTCTGGGAGCTCAGAACAGTCAGAACCAACATATTTCCACTTTTCTTGTTTAGAAACAGATGTCATAATAATTAAACTTTATTGATCTTATGTTGGAGAAATTTACCTTTGCATTTAACCCATCCCCTTGGGAAGCAGATGGCTGCCATTATGGGGCGTCCGGGGAGCAGTGTGGGGTTAAGGATCTTGATCAGAGAGCCAGAGTGGCAGTCTGTGAGAGTGGGTTTCAAACTCACAACCTCAGGATTCCAAGCTCTATGCCCCAACCACTAGGCCGCCACTCCCTTCTAATATATTTCTTAGGTTGACAGTGTGTTTACATCCCTGCCCCTCAAACCAATTGTAATATACTTAAGCCTCAGACACAAGTATAACAATTCTTCTGAGGCTGTTGTGAGTAAATATGACAATACTACACATCAAAGTGCTTCTATTCTGAATAAATCCTGGTGCAAGTAAAAACTCAACATTATTGGATTATTGAATTTGATACCAGTAAAAAAAGGTGTATTCTGAAGGGTTTTTTTCCTTTTTCTCCATCCGAACACATTTCATTCAGATCATGAATTTAAATGTGGTTTATGTGCAGTTTCAGAGTTTTCAATGCAAATCTGTTCCCCTCTGTGACCTCTTTCAGTGCAAACATTTGCACTGGACAGATTGTAAAAAAGCTGAGGCCTAATCAATGACAGGACAGGTGGCTTCGTCCCCAAGACACACTTTAACTGAGATAATAAAGCAAGAATAAGACTTTTTTTCTTTTGCTTTTTAAACTCCAGAACTGTGCATCAACTCAATATGTGGTCTGATCTTCTATACCTACTTGGTGACCTCGTATGCTATGCTCAGTTATACACATACTTCATAGTTTCTTAGTAACAGCATGGGAATGTACAGTATGTGCACCCCCTAGAAATTTCTTCTTTAATTTTTACCCACACGATTTTCAGATCATTAAACTAATTTTTGGGAAAAACACACACATCAGTTTTCAAATGTTTCCATGTACTTAAAGAAAAAGGTGATTCAAGCCAACCACATTTATGGACACTTCAGTACAACTTTATTAACTACATAAAGGACCAATTACTCCAGACTCAACACAGTGTACAGTGTGTTTCCATATTTTCATTACTTAATACATGCATATCAAATACAAATCTGTGTATTTTTTATTTGTTATATTTTCAAGTCAACATTTAATGAAGCAGAAAAAACAACCAAAAGCAATTTGAATTTTGTTAAATGTATTAAAAGTTCACAGTAAGAGGCTGAGACTGTGTCAACTATTCAAAGAGAAAATGGTTGAGGTTGTTTTTCAAACCACAAAGTTAAAAGAAAGAACATTTTTTGTTAGGTCATTAAGGGCAAAGCATTTTTGAAGAAGTTTCCTTCCCAAATGGAATGGTTTGGCTTTGGCTGACCACATTAACACAGCTCACATCTGGAAGAGGTATGCATACCTGTCCATGACTGCAATGACAGAAAAAGATCTGAGGGTGCCTGTAGACCAGAACTGGGGCTAAGTGAGGGCGTGCAGATGGCTGCAGCTTTAAGCATCACCAAAGAATGACACTATCACCACCTCAGCTGTGTCCCACTGTGCACAGCACAAGCCTTTTTTTTTTTTTAAATGCCCGTTTCCGGCATTGGGATAAACAGCTGCATCTTGATGCCAGAACCTCAACCAGGTGCATTATGGGGACTGTTTATCAATCCCACCATGCACTGCAACTCTAAATACAGCCACTGTTTTCTGGTCATTCGTCTCTCCCTCTCTCTCTTTCTCTCTCACTTTTTTGCCAGTCTTTCTCACCTCCCTCCCTCTCTCTTGTCAGCTCTTTTGCTGGTGCAGCTGTCTCCTTATAATGCATGTAAGGAAAAGTGGCCGTGGCCGAGAGTGATGGAAGGAACAGGTGCGCCGACTGAAGGATACGTTTGGCCTCAATCAGGCACAATGCACCTCTGTTTGGGAAAATAATCTCATCAGTGGGAGGCTGCATAGAGAAGACAGACAATATACTTTAAGTAACAGGAAAAACAATTCCAGGGAAATTACAGGGTGCAAAATTTTCCTTTGCAATCAGCATCAGAACAAAGACTTGGCTAGTATTTCTTTAAAATAAACATGCAATCAGATTACTCTGGTAAACAAATATGTTAATTGCAGTCAGATTAAATTAATCCAGTTCTTCGTTTTGCAACTAATAATTACCCTTAGTGACCCACAGTGTCATTGTATGTTGCAAGTATGGCTTGCATTAAAGAGAACAAACTATGTCATATCAAGATTTTTTTTTTCCCACCCTAAACTCACTCACCCTTTGGAAACAATTGCAGAGTCATTATAAGAGCAGCAGTATGTTTTTCAAGCGTTAAAGATAGAGTTGCCTTAGTCCAAGCTGCCTCTAAACTGCTGGGCCGCTCCCCAGTGTTCTGCAGAGCTCCAGTCACCGACTAGCATCTGGAAACCATCAGTGTAAACAAAGGAGCAGCGGAGGAGCTCAGGCCATGCTCTGACTCTCCACATCCCCCAGGACATCATTCAGAGAGCAGCCCAGGAATGCCAAAATGGCACTCAACCTGTGTGTATTGTATTTCCATGTGCCCATGAGTGGGGAAAGTGAGTCTGTCTGGTCCTGTGTCCTCATCTCAGAACTTCTATTTAGTTTGGCTGCAGTTCAAAAACAGATTGACAGATAGAGGAAGGGGTTCAGTTCAAAATGTTAGCTTTGAGCCTTTTTACCCCGGGTTTTTGTTTGGTTTGCTCATTAAGCGTGATATTTCTGATAAGGCTTCTAATTGCTTTAATGTGGTTTCAGTTACTTCTAGTCCTGGCTTTAACATGAATGCTGCAATGGTAGAAACCTGGACAACGGGTTGAACCTGAGAACTTGCACTATGATGTTAAACATCAAAAAGGATCAAAGGATCAATCAAGTCCAATTCTTGCCTAGGATGTCTCTGGATATGTTTCAAAAAGATTTGTGACTTGAAATCTATCAATCGTGGGGTTTGGTTACTTTTGCTACAGCCTGAATTTCCGACATGTTGCTCATGGAGACTGAACCTCTTTGATGTGTGCTCAGTGTGTAGACTTCACCTCACAGCTGAGATAAGCAGTCCTATCTAGCTTAACCTTCTCTAAATATAAACTAAAAAAAAAAAATCACACATCATTTTTTGCACACCACCTAAATAGCATACTAATAGTTTTACCACCAAGCACACAAATGCATGCCTGCAAGCTATTTTGCAGACTTCCACTACCAAGCATTGGAAGGGAAGACAAAGTGTTTTCAAGTTCCAAAAAGCAAAGAAATAATCATGCATCAGAGGTTCCTATCAAGGTTATGCATTCAGATAACACTAAACGGTTATAATTCTATAATGTAGCCTATCTGTCTCCTTCAAGTTGTAAAAGTGTTGTAAATCTTTCTGATAAACTTTACCAGACAAACTGAAACCATCCATTATGTTAGGGATGGAAACCAAATGGCAAGTCTACCTACAGCCCCAACTGATCATGCTCAACCAACAGTCATGGGGGAGGGAACTAAACAAAGAGCTATAGCTCTATTTACAAAAACTCATGATGTTGAAGGTAACCAGCTTAGTGGGTTTAGTGGGCGTATTGTGGGTGAAATGTAAATGAATCAGGATTTTAGGGATGCTGGGCAAAAATTAGCCTTAAAATCAATTAAGCTGCAAAGACATTTATGATAGGCCTGTGCGACATAAACCTATGAACTGTGCAAAAACACTTCAAGTTGAGCGAAAACTTTCTGAAACTTAATGTGCAGAGTGGGATATTCTTTTGAAATAAACTGTAAAGATATGTTTTAGGTAAGGTTTTGGAAGGACATATTAGCAGCTTTAATTTCATGCTGGAAAGACAAGACAGACTATAAGAGAAATGGACAACAAGTTCACCATCAAAAGCCAGATTAAAATCCAGTAGCTTGGCAAAAAGCTGCACAACAAAATGTCAATAGACTGTTAATGACTAATAGGCTCTATAGTATGATGTTAAAACATTATTTCTATAATAAATAGATGACCAAACATAAAGGTCTGAACTCTGAAAGTTATTTGGGAAAAAATCAACTTCTGACTTGATAAAAATATAAATCTAATTTCGTCGAGAGCTAGGTTTAGACAGCTTTTTGAAGGCAGAGATTGCCCTTTTTTTTTTACACTATGTTTTGGCTACTGGAACTGCATCTCTCTGTCAATAAAGCTGTCAATAAAAAAAAAAAAAAAAGAGATTTGTGATAGGATTCAAATAGTTCACTAGCACATCCTATCTGGTTCTTCGCTAAACTGCATAATTCGTGGTTGGCTTTTTATCAGCAGCTATCAAAAGCCTACTCCAGTGACATTTATTCTGACTCCACCCCGGCCATCTTTGAAAGCTCTTCAGAAACTTTCTGACCTACCGCTTGACATCCAGGCTTTCCTGCATGTTAAGAGACGTTTGTGTCTGAGAAACTCGTTCTTCTAACCTGGAAGTCTAAAACCACATCCTCTTTTAATTGCTGCCTCAGTGATATGATGTCAGTAATTCAGCTGGAAAAACTGCGTCATCAGGAGCTTAATGAACAGAACAGAGCAGCCGGGTCCTTTCCCTGCACACTGTTGCTGAATGTGTCGAACCCACATGTGACACACAGCTTTAAGGCCTTAAAAGCAAACTTGACACGCCACTAAATTATCTGTCATGGTACTTGGTCTACATCTGTACCTTTGCTTGTTTCAGAGAGGGGATTCTTTCATTCTTTGTTTTCCACGCCTCTTATTGCTTGTTTTGTAAAGTAAAAATTATAAGTAAAGTATATATATAAAAAAAAAAAGATTATCTCTTTACTGTTTGTTCTATAACTCTAACACTATTTAAAAATTAAATTTTCATTTCATTATACTTTCTTGAACCTCCGTCTCTTCTGGGCTGTTCTGTCATTACAAATGTGATCATATTTATGAAAAGAAAAAGGAAAGTAGTTAGTTTCAATAATATATCCCTGGTGAATCTGTTATATTGGCTTTACTTTATAACCTCAATGAAAGCACTTGACTCCATGCAATAACTTCAAACGTTTTCTTACAACCTGACTTCAAAACTGATTTTCCTCTAGAAACACACCACAAATGTATATTTGCAGTGAGAATCATATTCTTGCTATTAAAAAAAACCTAAATGGCAAACATTTAGCTGACTAATCTGAAAAATCTTAAAGACGTTAGTTGTTAACTGCCTAAATATTAGATAGAAGTTTACACTTAAGATATACATATGATTTTATCTTAATAAAATACATTCAGGATTAAACCAAATCTGTTTTAATATTCAGAAAGATAAGCATGCACAACCGACAGTGACATATGCTGCACAGAAATGTTTGTATTCTAATAATAAAGAAGCCAGAATATGGTATAAATACTCATATTTTCTAATATTAGTCATCAGATGGAATGACCTCTCACTAAATACGACTTCCCCTCTAAGTTTTTCATCACAGTCGTCACCCACTCAGAGTCCTCCTCTGCACCTGCTCTGCACTACTGTGGCTCACTGTGGGCTATTCTTAAAAAAGGGGTTTCATATTCTAAAAGGTCTTTATTCTAGCTGTTCTTATTTATGTTGCCATTCATTACTCTAAGAACAGATAGAAGTAGAACCTAGTTTTTTTTAGACGATAAATTACATGAGGCGTTAAGGAATTTATGTTGTAATCTCCAATGTCAAACTGAAGCAAAATGCTGCATTGGGATTAAGGAAATTGCTGAATCTGGTACACAATAAAAAAATAGAACAATCTTGGTATGTAATCACATCCACAGCTGTAGACTTAACAGGAAACATATCCAAAAAGCCTCAAAAATAGGAGCCAGAAGTCTGCTTAAAATGGATTACCTTTAAGTGAGCAGTGACCTATACCATCTCACTTAGAGGTTTCTGCGTTTAACCTCTATGATCAAATGTTTTTATTTATCTTTGAGATCAAGGGGAAGATGATTGTCCATTTCCAGGACTGTGGTGATGTCACAATGGTTCTGAGAAATTGACTCTGAGTGTGAGAGGCTCTTCATCCAAGTCCTTCCTGTGCGTTTGCACTGCAGCAGACTGATCCTGAGCCACAGTACACAAACCGTCTCTTTCCTTATAATAATCTTTAACCTGAACAAAGATCTTTTTTTAATTAAGATTTGGATTTTCTCAGACTGCAGCACAATTCTTTAACATCAGTGAGAGAATCATTACTGTTTAGTCTGTTCTTTGACATGCAGATATATCACACAGGGAAAGACTAAATCAAAACAGCTGTCTTAAATAAAACACTTCACAACTTTCAGTTATGCAGATAAACTGGGACATATAGCTGGAAAAACTGAATATTGTACTGATGTATTAATGCCATCTGTCCCTTTACTGAAATATAATTTGTTCAAGGAAAATAAACCAAAAAAGTTGTGGGGATATATTTTCTATGCATTTTGTGTTTTACAAAGAAATAGGCCTTGAATATGGGTCAACTCTTTGCAGAACCATCTTGCTGTAACTTTTACAGCTTTGAATAGATTTCTTCTTGTTTTTTTGCTTTTCTAATAAGGCCAAATTTGTGGACTGTACATCTAACCTTTTCTTGATGACAGATTTCATTTCATCTCAGCGTATCTTTGCATCTCCTTTACAGTTAGTATGCTAGTCTTATCTGCTTCTTTTAATAAAGTTCTCCTGGTCTAGCCTATTAAAATAGTTTCGCTACTGCTGTGTCACTTATCTTCCATTTTAATAAACGTTGGGACACACTGCTTGACTCTAAAAGCTATGATGATTTTTTTTTTTCTGTCAAACTGGCTGCATGAGTAGAGGCTCCTTCCACTCATAGGGTGACCAGATGTCCCGATATGTGCGGTACTGTGCCATATTCTTCACTTCTGTCTCATTGAATGTTCCGCTTTGACTGAGTCAAATTATGGAAAGTTAAAAAGTTATTCATTTGGCGTTTTTCTTGTATGTAAAGAAGGCAGAGCTGCAGTCATTGTCATGGAGCTGTACCAGCTGTCAATCAAAATACAAATGCTGCGTTGCACATCCTGCTCTGCATGCTTTTGAAATCAGCAGAAAAGGTCAAGGATTTAAATATGTAAGAAAATATTTCACTTAATCTCCTTCTGTTTATTTTAATGTTATGTTAATTTAATGTTTTAATATTGACTGCATACCAGTCTGCCCCACTTGCTTTATACACAGTATGTGTTTAGGCTCAACTTTAAATGCTTCCAATTATTTTTGTGGGGAAAATAAATATTAAGAACCAATATTATCTTGGTTTATATGAAATAAATAAAAGACAGTAAATCACATTTTGTCATTTGTTCCATATATTTGCAATATAAATGGAGCAGAGTAATCATACCACGTCTCTGAGCTGCATCGACCAGTGCAGCTTTCAATGAGTGCACAGTCCCAACAAACCTCTGAAGGCTAACTGTCCAATATGATGATCTGTTGATGC